TTTTTTTAAATATTCTTAATTGTGGGCTAAGAAAAAGTAATCAAATACCTCTTGTTACATATACCCTCTCTATCTTCCAACAACAAACAAATAACTATTAATAAACATATCAATCACGATAACAAAATAACTAATCCGGTCTAAACTTTCTAAATCAATCATCATCAAAAGAAAGTCTTATCTAAACAAAATTTCTCGACTTAACTGTACCACGTATCATCGTCTTCTATATCATATCATGTCTTCCAAAAGACCTTCCACAACCACTCAACAAGCTCTCCAAACTCCAAAAACAAAGAAACAAGAAACTGCTAATAATTCAGGTACCCTGATGGCGGTGCTGCTGAACACCGGCATGATGCTAGCCTACGCGATCGGTCTCTGTGTGAGTCGTTTCACAATGTCCATGATCTCGGTCTCCATCCCATTCCTGTTCCTGGTGTCCTTCGTTTGGCTACCAGAGAGCTCTGTCTTCCTCACGAAGAAGAACAAACTCACATCAGCCGAAAGGACGTTGAAATGGGCATTGGGCAAAGATGACGTGATAGAGGAACTAGAAGAGATCAAAAGGATAGTCGCCACAGAAGATTCAAGCAGTGATATGACGTTCGCCAGATCATTAAGGGAGACCTGGTCCAGGCGAGAAAATCGGAAAGCGTTTCGCATCGCGATGATCGTCTTGAGCGCGTTGACGCTAACTGGCGCGGCGCCATTGTTGGCTTATCAGTCGTTTATATTCGAGGAAGCTGGCTTCCAAATCTCAACGAATATCAGCATCGTAATGACTGGCTGCGCGCTGGTGTTGGCTGGCGCGATGTGCGTGTTGCTGGTCAGAAGCATCGGCAAGAGACTTCTGTTGTTGCTCTCGGCGCCGGTCTGCGTGGTGTCTCTGACAACGATGGCGGTGTTCTTTGGCCTTCTATCCAGCGGCCACGACGTCTCCAGGCTGCGATGGGTGCCTACCGTATTCCTTGTGATTTATGTCCTCGGCTACGGACTCGCTCTGAACCCCGTGCCGCTCGCCTATGTCGGCGAGATCTTCCATGTGGACGTTAAAGTGCCCGCTGCCATATTTTGCTCCCTCTATTACGCCCTCACTACGACCACCGTCGTGAAGTTCTATCAGGTAAGATCATTCGCGCGATTGGTTATAACTAGACTTTGGAGTTTTACGGGGGATTATTATTTTCTGAAGTAATTTAAGCCTTAGCACTTCATAAGTTTTCTGGTAGGAATGTTGTTTCTTTTGGTCAGGTGTAGGTGATATTTTTGGGACTACGTGAACGAGAAATTATATGTTCATTATGGAGCAATGCTATTCTATTTTAATATTTCACGTATTGATAATTAAAACGAAGCTTAATATTGAATGAACTTTATTGTTTTGGTGTATTAGATTAAGTGACGATTGAGAGACGCATGTAAAGTGCAAAGAGTTAAAGAAACTGATTTTGAAATCAAATATTAGGTAACTGGAAGTGTTCGTTCGGTCCTCAATAGATTTCAAGTAAACTTTTATAAAAACGAAATATGGAAATTAGTGTGTATTTGGTAAACAGTGGTACAGTTCGAAGATGATTATTTTAATGAATATGCTTTTTTTTATAAAAATTCTTGTGCGTGTTGGATTGTTATTTTAGGAAACTTCGAGAATTTGTTTGATTACTTCACAGAAATTAATTTCTTCTCTTAAGAATTTAATAAGTTGAAAATAAGTAACAACATTTTAAAATTGTTATAGATAGTTTTTCTACTCTATATTCTGTGCACTAGAATTTTTCATAAATGCGTAAAATCTAAAGCGTAGTAATAACGCACTACGCAGTGGTTGCGAACGATTCGTGGGTGGTTCTGCTATTTAGGTCACGTCGAGACCCGTGCAACCTCCTGACAAATTTTAATCCTATACTGGTGATTGCTGATTCTGGGATGATGGCTTTTTTCTTGATTTTTGCTGATATTTCTTTTTATACGTGCTCGCTTGTCGAATTTCGGTTGCGGTTAAGAGATTTTTGTGGTAAATGGATGAAGGATTTTGGAAGAAGGGTAGAAAGGACAAGCGAACATTTAATATGAGCATTGTGCTTAAGTTGAAGTTTTGGACAATTTTTTATATTGAAGAGAGTATGAAGAAATTGAGAGGTGTCTATATAGTTTTAAAAATCTAATGATGAAATAGAATATATTTTGAAGGTATTTTGGAAAGTTGTTGCCACTTTTCAAGAATGTCTTCATTTTTTTCACTTTAACATCTATTCTTTAAAACACAAGATTGTTGGCAATATTAACTGTATTAAATTGTTTGAAAGGTTAGATATTCGTTGTTATTTAGATTTTCATTTTATTATAACAGTGTTATTTTTTTTTTAATCATTTATCCATAGCAACAGAAATATACAGCCTTACGAAGTAACTGAATATCACATACATATTTCATTACGAAATAGTTGAGTTACTTGTTAGATTGCACGCTGAAGTTCACAGAATCTTCTAACTAACTAAAAATACTAAAAATACCCTCTAACTAAAAATACCCTCATGTTCTAAAAGATGCATTGTTTGTTACGCTTACAAGATAAACGTATACGAGTGCATGCATGGACCATTCCCTTCGTTAGTTTCGACGTCTGAAATGAAACGGTAAATTTTTTAGCGCCCCGCTAGCCAGAACTGACCTAACTAAAACTTTCTTCTTCCAAGTCATTTTTTATTTTGCCATACATGCATTTTATCTTCCTTTTTGAATAAAATATGACTAACATAAAAATACTCGATGTAAACAAATACGTGGCTACTGGCCATAGTTAACAAAACGTTAATTGTGCAATGTATCAGTATTCGTACGCATCATCTAAACTGAAAGTATTTATGCAAATTTACACTGTTAGATATACAAAAACACAAAATTAAAGAATTTAATTTCTTTAACCGATATTTTCAGTAGCTTAAAAGTAATATATGAAATGTCGAAATTAATGAAATTAAGGAAGAAGTTCCTATGTTATTCTGCTTTAAAGGACTTTATAAGCATCAAACAAGTTGCACGAAAACTCACAATTCAATTATTATAAATATTAACAATTAACACTAGAACTACCGAGCATTTAATACGATTGATATGTAATCCTTATAAAAATTGTAACAATAGATTACTTTCAGTTTCTTCAGACACTCATTATAGTATTCAAGTCAAACTATTTCTTTTCAAAATTATTTGAATATTCAACGCTTCTGAGATATAAATAATTGCGACACAAGGAAAGCGAAGCCCGTCATTTCGACTGGTACGGTAGTTCTAGTGTTAATAACTAATGAACACACTAGTAAAATGCTGGTCATACAAATTTTGCCACACAAATGTTCGATCTTTCCTAAAACGCAGTTTCAAGAGGAAGAATTTCCTCTGCATTTCGTAACAATCTTACGCTTTCAGCTTCCTGAAGAGTTAAATTGATTCGGCTACTCGAGGGATAAGTCAACAGCGTAAAAACGTCTTCCCAGCGCATTATCAGATCCGAATTAGGTTATAAAAGTGGTTGCAAAATATTTTCCCGACGTTGACCTAAATTTCATTTTTCCTCTTGCTGAAGGAAACCACCGGCATCGAGCATTTGATAGTGTTCGCGCGCGTGCTGGTCGAACATATCAGACAATGGAATGATAGTTTGTTGTCCGTAGGTATTGCAAGAATCGCACGGAACGTACATGCCCATATCCGTGTTCACCGCGATCACATTCTTCGTCTGGGTTCTGATCTACCGATACGTGCCAGAGACTGAAGGAAAAACCTTGGAGGAAATACAAATTGAACTGAGAGGGAAACATTGACAATGATTGTTGAATCAGCACAGAATCAGGAATTATTTAATAAATGACAGACATTTTTGACTTAAACGTAATACGTCGTATGCACAGAAAAAAGTGAATGTTTGTAAGTATTAAGTAGGAGAAAGAGCAAATGCTAGATTTCTTGGGCATAATCTTTTATTAGACGGTACTAGAAAGTAAATGCTGAGAAATCGTAAGATAATCGAGTAGAATACTTGAAATTGGAATAGTATTTACTTGATGTTTTTAATGAATATTAAATGTTATGTATACGAATTTTAAGTGCATATTTATCGGCAAATCCAGTAAATATTTCACTCTTTAGGAATATTTTATTTTAATATGTTTAGAATCAAGTATTTATTTACAGAACACCTAGTAAAAGTTAATAGGTTTTTTTTATGGATATGACTTAATATTTGTGTTTCTTTATTTCCAACTTTTTAAATAGAGAATTTAATACATTATACAACGTATTTAGTTGTGTGTTAGACACTAATTGATTAAAAATTCTCACGTGACTGATCGTTTAGTGCTTATGATAGAAAGAAATTAATATCCAGTAATCACGATTGATTTAATTCATTGACAAAATTATAATTTTGTATAACACATAATTATAATTTAATGTATAAACTAGTGCTTATTAATTCAGTTACTAATTATTAACATTAGTGGGTTATCAAAAGCGATATTAGTCATTAAATAGATATATAAATCATTAATTATCGATTGCATGTTTTTCATGGAAATATAATAAAATTTTTATTAATTTTATGTTAAAATTATTTTCAGTTGAATTTGATATTTCATTTTAAATTGCGATTGATAATTGTACATCTCAATTTTACTCGTTAATTATTAAATCTTCTAAATATTCCACAGGACTAGTTTTGCCTAATGTAGGCCAACTAAATTTAGTGTGCTCGTTTTTAAACCTTATGATCTAGATGTAAATAAAGTCAATATTTCATTTCTTAGTACTAATTTATTGTTGCTATACTAACTTTAAAGATTATTTAAGGATTAAATATTATACACGATTAGAGGTGTTAAAGTCTTTAATGTGGCAACGAAGGCAAATCGTTCTTTTAAAAGCAGGAAACCAAATAATCTTAATGTTTCAGGAAATAAAATGTTGAAAAAAATCGGCTTTACGTAATGTACACTCTTCTAAATAAAATATTTTTCTTCAAATATATTTATATATCTAAAATACGTAACTAACAGCATATTAAAATTACAAGTTAGAGCTGCCACTGTTAAAAAACTCACTCTCCACCTAAACTTCCTAAATTATATATAAAAAAATATTCACATATTTATCAATACACTGCTATACAATATTTTGTCAAACTCGTTAATAAGATCACAAATGAATGTAAAGAAAACTAAATATGAATTGTTTTTAGTTCAAAATTACATATTTTTGTCATGAAATTATGTTTTCTACAGTTAAATTATTACACATAATACATAAATATCGTTTCCATTAAACTATTAGTAACAAAATAATTCTGGCGAGCAGAGTTTCGAAACAAAATCATATTACAATGGGTTAAAAAACGAAATCACCACGTGAACACGTAGAACACGCGAAAACAGCGCCACGCGTATCCACGGCATACCGGAAGAGAGAAAAGAGGGGAAAAAGGCCGGTAATCAATACCGACGTACTCCTGATTCCCGTGGAGTCAGACACGGCGGAGAGGGCAAACTGTAATTTCGACAAATTACACTCGAAACTGGCCGGGAAAGAGGCGGACAGGAAGTGGAAGCGGGAAAGAGAGTCTTGGGACTCGTTTGATCGCGAAGTTCAGCGTCTGCAAAGAGAATCGCGAAGCAGCGAGCGAGATCTCGTGAAACGATACGGCGGGGGAAGGGCGTTTCGCTCGGAACTATTTGACTTCCGGTTAAAAACACGGGCACCGCGTAACCAAACTACGGGCCGCGTTAACTTTCCCCTTCTGTTTGTTTTGACAGCGGCTCCGTTGCTGATTTGTTTGCCCTCTTCGCGTTATATGAAATTTCGCCTAGCATGCGCCTCGTGCCCCTTCAGTTTAGGGGACCTGTTGGTTTTTTCATCGCGCGAGTGCTACGTTTGACGATTACCGTTACATGCGCCATGAAATTGCTTTGGTCTTAACGAGAAAGGGGCAACTTGCAGTCTAGTTACTCCCTTGCCGATTTCGATGGTTTTAAATCCCTTTCTTACCGCGTACTTCTTCGCGGAGAAGTTTTCTGTGGATCTTTCAAATGATTAGAACTTCTTTTTAAGTACCTGATATTGCACTTTCGAATTTTTCTATTAATAGCAATTGATAGATTTTACTGGTTTTCTGCAATGGCAAATGAGAACTGCCCTGAAGTGACAAATGATAAGCTTTCTGAATGAATCTTTAAAAAGATTTCAACTTCTTTTTTAAATTACTTGATATTGTACCTTCAAATGTTTCTAATAATTGCGATTGATAGATTTTACTGGATTTTCTGAATTGGTAAATAAGAGCTGTTCTATGTTTTAAAACAATGAACAATAAACCTAATTAATAAACGCAGGTATCTACAACTAGTTACGTGGACGCTAATAATCAACACTGATATTAAAAGGATTAAATATAATAGAATCTCGATTAACACATTAATAAGCACTTTCTTGACAGTTAGTATAGCATTTTTTATATAAATATTTATTTTTGTTGAAAACGATAAGTTACTTAACGTATATTGTGAAAATAAATGTATTTTTCCTGAAAGTTTTTATTTAGGACTTAAAGGCTTAAGCGTCACGTTAGTCACCCGCGACTGATGCTATATGTACTTTCCATTTAGGCCACGTCAGTCACCGGTGATTGACAATAAATAAATATTAATACATGGACTGCGATAAGATACATACAAAGGATACATATGAAAATATATATATAGTCTTATCGCAAGTTGACATATAAATGTAAAAAAATAACTTATCGCAACTTAAATGAAAAGCAAGAGAAAATAGGCTTGGCGCTTAACATGTTATTGAGATACCATTTTCCGAAATCCACATCGTTCATATTTTTGGTTATTTACAAACTCAATAATTCTTAGGTTATACTTTGAAGAATAATACGATTAAATTATGTAAGCACGCTTTGAAAGACTTCTTGTTGAGTCTCCATTTTATCGACTGTCTGTCGTCTAATTAAATCGGACGATGGATGTTCTACATATCGATATCCACAACTTATATAACAATTATTGAAACAGACATGGGAATAGCTAATCTGCAAGTTCATCCGAAGAAGAACATCTGAAACTGTATCGTCAATTTTTGTGAAACTTTGTGCAGGTGTAGAGTCTGAGATAATGTTTTACACGTATTTTTTTCACTGACGAATATTCTTGTTTGGGCAAGGATACAAGCTTTCATAGATAAAAGAAGAGACGATATTCAAAGAGATACAATGGTTCAAAAATTATGGAAAATTTTCGTTTTTATATATTATTATAAATTGATATCCCGAAAATATCATGTAAAAGTTACATGTAAAAATTTAGGAAATTGACGAGAAAAGAATTATAATATTTTTAATGAAATGGTACGCTGAGCTCTGTAGCTTGGTTAAAACTTTTAAACACTTTTTTCTTAAAATTGCTGCGTTCTTTACAGTGATCGTGGAATCTCAGATTACAAGTTGTTGTTTTGAAAGTTTTCATGCGGGTTTTTAATGAAGTTTTGAGTTTTTTAACAGGCAGAAGTATTAGTATTTGACTGGCTCTGTTGTGTACTACTTTGATAAGCATGCATGGTAACTTAAATTTTGTAGAACCGTTTAAAATATTAAATATTACAATTATTAAAATATAAAATATAAATATATAAATATATAAATGGTAATAATATGATTACTGAATTTTCCAAATCTCTATTTCATGAACCTTATACATTTTCAACAATATTTAATCACGGAAATACCAGGGAATGAAAAATTCAGTGCCACTGAAAAGTGCCATTTATTAATTCGTACACACAAAAAGTAAATTTTACAATAACTTCGATTTTTAAGAGAATTCACAGATGTGATACTGCTCTTATTACACTTGTGACAAATTAAAATGTAGTGTCTAATTAAATGATATTGAAAACATTGTGATTACATGTAGTAATTTATATAAAACTTATTGTTAATGTATGCAATAATTCCGAAGTATATAATAACTAAATTTATTACTTTCGAATTATTCTTTGATGATGAGTTCACAAACATCTGTTATATAAATTAATGAACATTAAACTAAGGAAATAATATTCACTTTCCATGATTGTTCTAAACAATGGAATTAATTTGTGTTGTATATTATATCCTATACTTCAATTTAGTATACTAAATATGTACAACCACACACACTTACATTCTTTCACATACAATAAACGCCTTAATTAACAACAGAAACAAAAAAGTTTTATTTTGAACTAAATACTACAGTACCTTCCATAAATATAAAAATATAATTTTGGAACCTTCATTAGAACCTTCCATTAGAAGTCCTTGTCACTAAGATCATCACTCATAAAATCATAACTAATTTTATGTTTCAAATTTATTAAACTTACAAAATTGTGTGTTTTTAAATTATAAAAGGAAAAATAATGCAGAAAAGATTTATTAAAATTTCATTTGCTGTTCTATTTATTTATCCTTGGTACAAAACCGTTTATATCAGACATTTTTACACGTCGCCGGCTCTCCAAAATTTTTCTTTCAGAACACAATACTTCTTGTAATCAAAGCTTCCGGCTACCAAATGATGGCCCCTTTTTCCATCCAAACACAATAATAAAGGATCGGTTTAATATTCACAATTTCATAAGCTTTGTGTCCATCAACCTCTTTGTCCGTGTCCACAAGAGCCATGTTGGTATGAAATTGAATTTACTTCTTATTAGTCAGTAAAATATAGACAGATAATATTCCACAGGCATGAAGTTTACATGAAGTTTCAATATTAAATGACCACGCGTATCAGTGTGTTATGACGATAAAAATAAAAAGAAATTGTTACATAAACAATGATACACAAGAGTTTTATTATAAAATTGTAATGAACGTAATAATCATTCTCATTTTCGTTGATATGTGTAATATTATACAATCATTAATTATTCTCAATAACTTAAAACAGAATATGTTGAAATAAATAAATTTAATGAAGATTATCGATTTATTGCCATATTGAAGTACGTCGAAATTTTCATATATTAAATATTCTTATTATAAAATGATTAATGAAACATTTTTAGCGAAAGTGTACCTATGCAGACAGTTGCTCATACATTTCCAATTTTCATAAATTACATTTCTATAATGAAAACTGAGCAAACATTCGATACCTACTTTAAATACATTATCATAATTACAACAGAATGGAATTTAAATATAGCTCCTTATAATTAACATTTTTACATTATTTATTGAAATTTATGGACGCCGATGAGAATTCGAAGCGTCATTTCATTTCTGTATAATTATTCTTTATTTATACTATCTCGCATGAAAAATTTTTTAGGAAATTATGAATACATTATATTAGAGACAATATGAATAAAATGAAATTACTTTAACATCGTTTTAAAATCTTGCTTTACATACATTATTATTTCTATTAGTTTGTTTACAAAAATTAGAATAAAGTATGCGGAAAACAACCAATTACTTTAGCATTACACTAAGTCCGCCAAGAAGTCTTGTTGTTTTACTTTTCAAAGTAGCATTTATGTTATAAGATACAAATAAATATTACAAATAAATAAACTTTAGGATAATAGGAAGCTTCTGAATAAAATACTGAATGGATAGTTCAGTAAAACTTAATTCAACGAAATTAAATTTTCCTTTAAACTTCATTAAAAACTGCTACTAGACTTTTTGTCTAATCTAATAGTATCACCATTATCAGAGAGCGGATTACTATGTAAAAGCAAAATTTCTCATATTGGTGCGAACAAACAAGTATTAAGTAAAAACTGATGTATCATGCTAAAAGTCTTAATTAATTAAAAATAAGATAATAGTATCCTCAATATAAAAAATATATAAAACTCACTTTAAAGCATACTATCATATCATAAAATCTCTCGGTTCACATCCTGCATATTTTTCGCAGAGAAATTCCTCTTCACCTTTCATTTAGAAATGCGGCAAGCCTAACCAAACCAAT